CGGTCATTCCAAGCACTTAAGACGGCTATGCTCATGGCACCCGTCCTTAGCATCTATGACCCCACCCTGCCGACGCGAGTGACTACGGACGCTTCCGGCTATGGCATTGGGGCAGTCTTGGAACAGCACGACGGCGACGACTGGCACCCTGTGGAGTATTTCAGCCACAAAGTGCCTCCCATCAACTCGCTTGATGATGCAAGGAAGAAGGAGCTGCTCGCATTCGTGATGGCTCTCAAGTGCTGGCTGCACTTCCTCCTTGGGCGTCGTAGGTTCACATGGGTCACAAACAACAATCCGTTGACCTACTATAAGACGCAGGATACGGTGAGCAGCACGATCGAACGATGGATGTACTTCATCGACCAATTTGACTTCACACCGAAACATGTCCCCGGCCTCTCCAATCGCGCAGCAGATGCACTCTCGCGAGGACCTGATCTTTGCGCTATGACACATCATGCCTTCGCATTCGACGAGGAGCTTCAGCGACACTTCATCCGGGCATATCAGTCTGATCCGGACTTCGGCACGCTCTATGCACAACTATCTTCGGATCACCCGCCGGCCAGCCATTACCGCATTGCCGACGGGTACTTGCTTTTCCACTCGAGAGGCAAGGACTTACTATGTGTCCCACGCGACCGTCGTCTTCGGACTCGCCTCCTCAGTGAGTATCATGATTTACGACTCGCCGGCGATTTCGGAGTCAACCGCACTATTGCACGGCTTCGACAACGATTCCGATGGCCCGACCTCATTACCGATGTCACTCGGTATTGCGACTCTTGCGAAGTTTGCCGACGCAGCAAGCCCCGCAACCGCAATCCCTATGGCGAGTTACACCCGATGCCTATCCCACGGGAACCCGGTCTCTCCATTGCCATGGACGTCACCGGTCCGTTTCCTCGCGACCGGCTCGGGCACGACGACATTCTCACGATTGTGGACCGATTGAGTAAGTACGCGCGTTTTCTCCCTTGCAAGTACTACTCCACGGCTCCCGAGCTGGCACGCCTCCTGCAGACTGGTTGGATTTGGACTGCTCTCATGCAGGAATCCGACACAACAATGAAACCAAGTTCGGCTCGACATCCTCAGACAGACGGGCAGACGGAGCGGGCACATCAAACCACTCAAATGATGCTTCGTACGCTCATCCGTCCGGACCAGAAAGATTGGGTTGACCGCCTCCCCGACATCGAGTTCGCCTACAAGTCTTCGGTGCATCCGGTGATCGGCGTGACTCCATTCGAGTTGCACCACGGTGGACGGAAAGGCCGGATCTTCGCCGACCTTCTCCTCCCTCGACCAGCCGACATTAACGCTGCCTGCTCTCCCGCTTCCGTCTGGAAGTACAGGGAATTGCTGACTCAAGCCCGGGCAAATATGCAAAAGGCTCAAGTCYGCATGCAGCAGCAAGCCAACAGGCGTCGTGTACCGTGTCCCATCCGCGCCGACGATCTGGTTTGGGTCTCCGCGGAAGAGTTTGCACTGGAACAGGATGTTTCACGCAAACTGCTTCCCAAGTGGTTTGGACCTTGGTCTGTGACAGTAGCCGCGGGCGATGAGCCCAATGCCCCTTCATTTGTGATCAACATTCCAGAGTATVTGACGGTCCATCCGGTCTTCCACGCCTCGAAGCTGGCAACATACACGCCAGCCAAGAGCGACGACTTTCCGGACCGACGATCGCAGGACCCTCCTTCTATGGATGGCCATCAGGAAGTTGACCGCGTCATCTCCGATCGCATGTACGGCAGCAAGCCGCGGCAGTACAAAGTCACATTCAAAGCATGCGATCGCGACGACACTCGGTGGATTTCAGGCGCAAATTTGAAAACATCCGCACCGCTGATCTACGCGCATTATGAAAAGCGGAGGTTAGCTCCGGAAGCTTCACGACCAGCCCCTCCCACCCGGACTGTGGTCCCTCCCTCAGACAGACATCTTCGCCCTCGCGGGTAAGCTCGGTTCTTCAAGGAGGGGGGGTGTGGCATACTGCGTAGCCACACGGGCCCTGCAGGGTCCGTCCCGGACATTCAGCCTAAAAGCCTAAAACTTAGGGCTTACAGGCCCCGTTCGTTTCAGCCTGAAAGCTGAAAAACGAGGGCCTGCAGGCCCTACCCCGTTTCAGCCTATTTTTGGGTCTTTTCAGACCCAGAGTTTTCAGCCTGAAACGGAGGGCCATTTTCAGGCCCTCATTGTTTCGACCTGCCCCTAAGACTCAGGCACGTAAACAGGGATGCGGAACAGGCCAGAAATAGCCTGTTCCTCACGAGTTTGAGCAGGAGCTGCAGCTGCAGCCCCTGCCTCCCTTCGGCAGGCTCAGGAGGCACACCCGGTAGTACATAGGAAGTTCCCATGCACTTCACGGGTAGGTGGAGTCAGTAGGCACGGGTAGTCTTCAGGATTTCGGCCGCAGCACTCAGGAGGAGCGCTGCAGTAGTCTTCAGCGCTAGGTGGTATTAGCGCTAGCTGTAGTCTTCGGCGCTGGGCGCCATAGCTGTAGTTGTAGTCTTCAGCGCTGGGCGCTGGTAGGTGGTAGATCGTAGAGTGGGAGAGAGAAACTGGCGGAGGCCAGTGGTACTTACCTGTGGCGCCATCACTCCAGCTCCATCTTCGTGGTACCTGCATCAAGACGCCAACTTCACAGGTTAGTACT